AGTTTTTAGGCAAGTTCAGTATTTGAGCCGCGAAAACGCCGAAGAGTACTACACGGTTACCTGCTATCCGGAGACGTTACAAAAGAAGATGCTGTTGTTGGGGTATTTCAAAAATTATATGACTGAGCATTTACTTAATGCCGGTGACAATATGCCGGTGCGTGAGGGTGATGAACTGGCTCGACTGCCCGTCCTTCACACCTGGTTCCGCACCTCGACAGCAATCATTTTACACATAAGTAATGGCACGCTGCAAATAAATTTCTTTAAGGTGACCGTTTTCGCACTTGCCAGTTTCTATTCTAAATATTCTAATTCTAAATGTTCGCCACGAGAAAAATCCGATTTTCAGGACCATACGAAACTTGTGATTTGTCCATTGATGGGAGCGGCAACCTACATTGATGCGAACCGCGATTTTCGCGTCTGGAAGCTTTCTGCGCTAGCGAAGTATGGCTGTCCGAAAGCGCTTTTGTAAGTTTTTCAAAATACTTTATTTGCGTAACCTATTTGGCCTCCTCCACCTTCTATGTTGCCGCAGTGACCCCAGTGTTAGTTAGAGATTCTGTGTCGAAGAATTCTCAAATATCCCCTGTATCGAAGAACAAAAGAATTCTCAAAAAAAAAAACCCTCAAAATCGCTGATGTTCTCGAAATGTTCAGTTGAAAGGACCGTCCTCAAATTTTCATTTCCACTGCGCTAGAGGGGCACTAACATGCTGATGCGTCTTGGTAATCTCAGCAACTTCCGAGCAGAACATGTGTTTTTTGGGAGCAGTTGCCAGTCATCACTGTTTCAGTGATCGTCTCAAGTACGCGAGGATGATGGTGGATCGACTTCAGGGATCTCAGTCCTCCATCGAAACACGTATGACTGCCGGCGATGGTCCTCCGAAAAGTATTTTTTGAAACAAACGTTCTTTTTTTAGCAGTTCCTATGCCTACAGCTTGTTTACAGCAAACTGTACTTTTCGATCATCCGATATGATCTTTGTCTTTTTACATGATCTTCTTACGTGTATACGGTCTCTACGTGTTTTTAGCGCGCAGCTTTTTCAGTGATTATGCAGTTTCCTGAAACCGTACCAGTCTGAGAAAATATGCAGTATTGTTGTGGAGGCCTCCAAAAGTGAAATGAGACCGCTCTGTGAAATATTTTGTCATTGATCATCAACGGTTCTCATTCTGAGCTGTATGAATACGGCGCATACTATGTCTGTGTGTATCTGTTTTATCTTAGATCATATTGTGTGAATGTAACATTCTGAAGCCGTACTGTTGTCCTATATGTTTCTCTGTGCATTGATCGTGAAAAAAGACATTTGGAGGAGCTGCAGTGAAATCGGAGGCGTAGAGTAGAGGGCTGGAGGCCGGAGGTGGGCAGCTGGGAGAGTGGTGCTTTAGGTCTCGGGAAACGTAACGAGGGGGTGCGGACGGGGTTGTTGACTGTAGTGAAGTGAGACCTTCTTTAGGAGTAGAAAATGGAAATCGGGATGGAGCCTTTGTGGGTTTTTTGTGCTCGGCCTGAAATTTGATGCGGTGGAGGAAGCTAGTAATCTTGAAGCAAATTGCTAGCTAGCGAAGGGGGAAGCAGAAAACCCGGTAGCACGGTTTTCGCAGCTCAAGCCTGAACGCAAAAATGAGTTCATATTGCGCGGCCAAGTTGAGTCTGGTCTTGGTAGTTGTCCAAGAAAGCACTGAAAATATGTAACGATGGTTTCAAATAAACATGTTCTATTGTAAAGCAGCCAAACAGTACCAACACACACGGTTTGACATTCGTCCCTGATGAGCACGAAGCACGAGAATGCTGGCTGAGTGTTTAAAGTTCGAGAATGGTTGTTGTATGGTCATTGCAACAATTGTTGCAGTTGCGTAAGGGCGTGCTGGGGGGGATCAAAGGGCGTAGGAGGAGTGCACTTTGCTTCTATGATTTGTGCGCTCATTTTGTCGAAAAGAGGGAAGCCGATCTCGAGGAAAAAAAATGAACTGCCTGCTTGGTGGACATTGTTAATTGCGTCAGTTTTGCGACCGCTTACAGCGCCATGCTTTATTTGCTGTCAAAATTGCTTGACGAGCAGTGAGGCAACGGGCGCAATCGGTAGCGCTTTTCTGAACAGCGGCAGTTCCCTTCTTTTGTGAAAGCAACGGCTTGGTCAGGTGCAATAATGGAGCCAAGTGCAGAGACCATCGTGTTGGACAAATATCCTTTTCCCTCCTCCTCCTAATCCATAAACAGGACGGAAGTTGATGTACAAAACATTAAGCACAGCAGCGCATAACGTGTAGTAGTTGAGCAACAGAAGTAAAACTGGAGTCTGACATCTGTGCAGACAAAGAACTGTCTTAGGTGTGATTTAATTATGCGAAGAT